TTTCTAAAAGCAAATTTGTAAAATCAAGAATTTATAATAGAAAACCAGTTTCCAAGGACTTCATGGTTCAGTATGTTCATTAAGACCAAGTACTCTATCGTTATACCAAGTAAATCGTCTAATTTTAATTTTAACAAACATAAACAAACTACTCATTTTCTCAAACTTTGATGAATTTATAAAATCAAACTACTTGTCGTAAGACCGTAACAATACATCGCCAAAGAAAGTTTTATACAAATTGGCTCAATTTTTTTTTTCAACAGTTAATTACAAGAAAACGGCTCGGTAGATTTTCACCTAAAACTAATTAGTATCATTCTCAACTAATATCTTTCGAACTCATTTTTTTTTTAATTAATTTTTGAAATCGATTCGTTAGTATGAGCTTAAATGTAGACGAAAAGTTCAACACTTTTTTTAAATTACAAAGAAACGGCTCAGCAGATCGTCGCACAAAACTGGCAGACGATAGTCCTTATCAAATTTTTGAAATCGGTCCAGTCGTTTTTGAGAAAACGTCGACTTACGGCAAAAAATCTGTTCACACACACGCACACACATACGTTTTTCTTAAATTTGATGTCATTCGATTCAGAATGGCTTGAAACGTCGAGATAACATAAAATTACCGAGTCGGAATTTTTGATGAAAACATAAACTTCTCCTTCGGGAAGTTAATAAATGGTAATATGTCTGTGTGCAACTTTAGTCTTATGTGATGAGTTTTATAAACAAAAGGAACTCTTAATATTTCTTTTAATTAGCAAAGAATAAACCTAGTTATTGAATCAAAATTTTTAGTGAGTGCTTTAACTTTTAATAATATTTGCTTATAATTTTCTTTATTCGATTATTCACAACTAGTTTAAATTATAATATGTCTGTGTACAACTTCAGTCTTATGTGATGAATTTTTTAAACAAAAGGATATTTTAATATTTTTTTTTCAATATACATATGATAAAAATAGTATTGCATTAACATTTTTAGCGAGTGCTTTAACTTTTAATAATATTTGCTTATAATTTTCATTATTATATTATTCACAACTAGTTCAAATTATAATATGTTTGTGTGCAACTTCACTCTTATGTGATTAATTTTTTAAACAAAATGAAGTCCGAATATTTTTTTTAATGTACAAAGAATAAACTTAGTTATTGCATCCAAATTTTTAGTGAGTGCTTCAATTTTTAATAATATTTGCTTTTAATTTTCATTATTCGATTATCAACAAATAGTTCAAATTATAATCTCTGTGCAACTTCAGTCTTATGTGATAAACTTTTGAAACAAAATGAAGTCCTAATATTTTTTTAATGTACAAAGAATAAAAATAGTTATTGCATCAACATTTTTACTGAATGCTTTAACTTTTAATAATATTTGCTTATAATTTTCATTATTCCATTATTTACAACTAATTTAAATTATAATATGTCTATGGGCAACTTCACTCTTATGTGATTAATTTCCTAAACAAAATGGAGTCCTAATATTTTTTTAAATAACAAAGAATAAAAATAGTATTACTTCATCAAATTTTTAGTGAGTGCTTCAACTTTGAATAATATTTGCTTATAATTTTCATTATTCGATTATTCGCAACTTCAGTCTTATGTGATTAATTTTTGAAACAAAATGAAGTCTTAATATTTTTTTAATATACACAGAATAAAAATAATATAATTGCATCAAATTTTTAGTTAGTGCTTCAACTTTTAATAATATTTGCTTATAAATTCCAGTTCTGCAAAAATATTTGTATCGGTGAATACAGGAGCCACAATAAGATTACTTTGTAGAATTGACATTGAATATCCATCCTTTTTATGGTGAGTGCTTTTAAACATATATCTATAATTTTTAATGTTAATATTATATAAATTATATAAATATATATAAATTATATAATATTAACAACAATTATATAAAATTTCTATGATAAAACAATTTTTTTTACTTTTTTTTTATGAATCTTATGAGAATATAATATATAGAATATCATATGATACCTATAGGTAGACTTTATATCAAAATGAAAGTTTGTTTTTGTATTACATTGCATTTATTTTCAACAATTCTTTGGAACGAAATTAATTATAAATCAGATTATCTCATTACACTAAACAGAACTTAATTCTAAGTTTTGGAAACAAGTAAAAAAATATACTTAAACAGAAATCATAATAAATCAAATATTTTAATTAAAACCAATGTATTTACAGTTACAATCTATGTATAATTTAAGGTACTTTCTCTAATTCAGTTAGGAACAAATTCTATTCATTTTCAGCTTTAATATTATGCAGTTTTTGGTGAATTAATAACCCTTCCTTCCTTGCAAATGAAGCGTCGCATTCGTTGCATTGAAAGTAGTTTTGTTCATCGTGTATTCTTATATGTCTTATTAATTTATCCTTACGACCAAATCTCTTATCACACATATCGCAAGCGAAAGGTTTGAAACCTGTATGAACAATACTGTGTCTATCGAGTTCTCGTTTACGAGCAAAACTTTTATTGCAAACCGGGCAAACATGGTTTTTGATGCCCATGTGTATATACATGTGCCTTCGCAGGTTGTCTAAGTTTGATAGTTTTTTAGGGCACTGCGAACACTTGAATGTTTTTTTAGTTTTGTATTTAGCTTTAGGTTTGTGACCGTTTTCTAAAAACGACTCCTCACCTTCTGCCATGTGGGCTTTTAAAAAATCCGCTAAATCATGCGCTTCGCCTGATATATGATCAGGCACAGGTGGTAAATCTAAAACATCATTACTCTCTTCGTTCTGCATGTCACCAGCATCTTGCTCGTACTGTTCGTGCTGGTAAGGATCAATATTTATCACCATCCCATGCTCGCTATCAGAATCATCACTCTCTTTATTTACTTGAGGCACGTCTTTAGCCTCGTGCTTCTTCTCGTGTCTCTGCAACTTGTCCTTTCTCGAGAAGGCCATGTTGCACTTGGAGCATTCGAAAGGCTTGGCCCCCGTATGCACAGCCATGTGTCTGCTTAAATCGATTTTGGAAATGAATGACCGGCTGCACTTCAGGCAGACGTGGGGCTTTTTGCCCAATGGATGCGCATGTGTTTCGTGAGGTTTGTGTTTCTGGAGAAGGCTTTGGTGCAGATGTAGCAGCTGTAGGGGCGCACGCCGGTGTGTACGATTGTGTGTTTGCGGAGGTCGGATCTTCGGGCGAATCCTTTGTCGCATTCTAGGCATATGTAGGGGCGCTCCTTTGGTGCAGCAGTCTCATGTGGGCTAAGGATAGAGAAAAATTTAGTAGAAATTGGTGGTTTAAAACTAGGTGTAAGTGGCATTTTGGCTTAAGGCAAGTTGCACGAACTTTCCTATATGTAAATAATTGTATTAATCAATAAGAAAACAATATATTAATTTATAAGTGATTTATAAATTATAGACTAGTGGTGCATGGCATCGTGCCTTAAGGAAAATTGCTGGAACTTCCCGTACCAAAAATTATTTTTTTAAAAGTAGATTCAAATTTAAGTATATAAATAAATAATCTTTTAGAACGATTTTTGAGATTTTTAAAATTTTTGAAATAAACTGACTTTTGAAAAATTTGATTTTTTTATACTTAGATAGAAATATTTTGGAAATTTAGAACTATCGCTATCGCGATTCGTTAGCTGGGTAGAAAAGAAATTTCGAAGCGCGTAAGCGCCGCGTTGCTGTCTAACGCATAAATATTAGTACGGAACCCATAAAAAAGTAAACAAAATTTATACTTATTGTTAAAATCTCTATAAACCATCTGATAATTTGTTGTGCATATGACTAATGATTATTTTTGTTCGCCAAATGGCATTTTTTTTTACTTTTTTCGTTAGATCTCCCAAACGGCTAGACCTGCCTTCCCAAAAATTTCATCAGTTCGTCATTTCGTCAATACAAATAAAATGTTTTTTTGAATCATACAAATCGGACGCTCCGTTCTCTTAGAAA